AAATGTTAAATTACACAAAAAGTGTTTAACATTAGCCTATAGGTCTTTTATAATGAGAAAAAACCTTGAAACATGTCTGTACCTTGTTATGTATAGTTTAAACCCTTCATTACGAAGTGGTTTGTGTAATATACCATCCCTAGAATCCACATATTTTAGGTGTCCTAGGAATGAATGTTTAAATGTATTTTTCATTTTAGCATGTGTACATGACAATTATTTAAGTGGAATGAAAACCAAATTCAAAATTCTGGTTGAACAGAACATTTTTTTTTAATAAAAATCACTTAACAAATAATGAGTAGAGGAGATAAAAAACAAAACAAAAAAAAAAACAGCTTTTCATCTCTTCTACTCCATATCAACGACCAGACAAGAGAGACTCCTGGGGGTAATAGCTGCCCTTCACAAGTGCTAGAAACCTATTTTATATTTTAGACTTACCAAATAATGAAGCTATAGATTTAGAAAACATCTAGAAAAATAAATAATATTCCTGAAAATGTTTTTTTTTCACAATATATTATTCTGCCACATAAGAGCCTACACTCACTAAATTTATGTATGCTGAAAATGTGGATCTTACCTTTCAAACCTGCTGCTTTGCCATCCAGTCACTTGGTTACTATCCCCCACGCTGCTCTAGTGTTTTTTTTTATATATATATATATATATATATATATATATATATATATATATACCCCACCTCCTCTAGATTGTAAGTTTGTTTGAGCAGGTTCCTCATCAAAATTTAAACTAACATAAAATCATTGAACAAATGCATTGGACACATGTAATTAAAAAAACAGAGATGTTCAATGTAAGCCATGACATTAAATGGTGTACAAATTAACACTTTTGTTTGCAATAGAATGATTTTATTTCTATGAAAGCTAAATTATATCAAATAACAATAATTGCCATAAATAGCAACTCATAAAACAGATCACTTCATTGCAATGTTCATGTTTAATAAAATCAAAACAAGTCACAACATGATTTAATTATGAAATAGAATTGCCACAAATAGATTTTCTGAATTAATGCCTTACTGCTGACATTCCAAATATAGCACTATTATCACTATTCATTTGAAGCAAAGAGAACAGTTTTAGCTCTCACAGGATTTGGTTACAGACGAAAGTATTGAAATGTAATCTTTGTGCCTAAACTAATTTTTGTTAGATTTTTATGGATACATAGATCTACTTCATTCCCATGTCAGAATAACCTTATGTGACAGAGACATCCTAATTGTTAATGCATATGTTTCTTTTGTCTTCAAAATCCTATAGACTCTACTATTTAATTCATCATTGAATGTTTTAGCTTAACACAGAACAAGATGTGAGACGGAGTTGTTTATACTAATTTATTGTAGTATGAGCACATAACTACACTGTAGGATCTTTTTTTTTTTTTTTTTTTTGACAGAAGGGAGGAAAGGGGAAAGTAAGGGGGAAGGGGGAAATACATTTAGCGACTAGGAATATATAGAGTTCCTCCTATCATCTATTGATAGCAGGGGAATTTAAAGGGAAGGAAAGAATACAAAAAGAAGGGGAAGGGTATAAAGAAAAGGATGAAAAAAATTAGAAAGGAAGGGAAGGACAAAGGGAAATAAAAATGATACAAAATATAGAGATCCAGTGGATCCCTGGCAGCTCATCTTCATTCATAGATGAATGAAGAATTAAGTGACTCAGCGACTATAGAAATAGAACACTGAGCCATGTATTCCCATATATTTTGGGAATTACTGTTGGTAGTATTTACTACTAGTTGTTTTACAATGTTATGTAAGAATGTATTGTCCAAAGATAATGTAAAAATCATGCAAAAAAACAAAATAATGAAAATGATCTATCTTAGAAAGTTGATTTTATCACAAATATAGGAATTACTCAAATACTCCTAGCTCCAAAAACAAACTTTGAAAATGGTTACATTCTTCTTATCTTTAAATGTACAAGGTTTAAATTTGCCCTTCGAAAAATCAAGTGTTTTTGAATATCTAAAAAGAATGAGAGTGCAAGTAGCTCTTCTAAAAGAAACCCATTGGTTAAGAAATGATTCATTGACATTTATACCAGAAAGAGTCCAAATTAAAATGACTGCATCACTAGAAAGTAAAAAGAAGAGAGGTGTAGCGCTTTTAGTAACTGAAGATCTTGATTTTAAGCTATTATATAAAGAAATAGATGATGAAGCCAGATATATAATTTTTACTTGCAAAATACAAGAACAGATATGTACCATTGTTAACATATATGCTCCAAACAACCAAACTTGTACATTTATACATTTTAACAAAGGTCGATAAGATTAAACAGAGAATGGTTTGAGTAGGAGGCAACTTCAACAATGTATTAGACCCCTACATAGACAAAATATCAAGAGCCAGTAGCATGGTAAACAAAAAACCATAAATGACGCTAAACAATTCTCAAAGATAGTAAACAAAAAAACAAAAAATAAAAACAACCTTCTAGATATATGGAGAATTTATCACCAGGGAGAAAAAGACTATACATGTTTTTCCAAAATTTACTGTTTGTACTCAAGAATAGATTACTTTCTAGGTGTTATAAAATTGGCCAATAATACAAAAAAAAAAAATTGTTATACAAGAGGTTTCCTGGTCAGACCAAAAAAAATAAATAAATAAATAAAAAAAATTGGAGAGGCTTTCACTAGGTACTATCAAAATTTATATAATATCCTGGATATTAACATAAATTCAATTGATTTATCAAAACTAAATGGGATGGGGGGCGTGGCTTGGACACTGGAGTGAATAACCGCATGAGAGCCGAGCTCCGCTCAGGACAGGCCTAATCCATAGGAATCCCGGCCGCTCACGAGACATGGCATTGAGGAGAAAGAAAGCACAAGTGGGTAATACCCCCTCCACAACTCTTACCTCCTCCAAGACCTCCCTGAGGTGATTTTTCACTGTAAAAAAATCGGAGCCGGACCCACGATTCAAAATGTCGGAGGCTGGGATATCTTCGACAAACAGTGCGCCAGCCAGCCCGGCACCCTCAGACAGCTCAATGGACGGTGCTGATCTAAGGAAACACTCCTTACACAGCTACCTTCCAAAACGGACGTAGAGGCGATGTTCTCCAAAATGGAGAAAAGGCTCCGTGAAGAGGTAGGCCACATAGGCAATAGGGTGCAGACACTAGAAGAGGAGGGGTAAATGGCAGCCGTGCAACACTTTGATGTGCAATTCCTTCAACAATCTCACACTGAAGCCATACTTTTTTTACAACAAAAAATAGAAGACTTGGATAACAGGGTATGACGCAACAATCTCAGGATAAGAGGCCTCCCTGAGGCAACTGACGGAGAAAGTGAGAACATAATAAAAATACTCACAACCCTTTTCAACAGGGTCTTGGACAGGCCTCTAGACACCATTATCAAATTTGACAGAGCGCACAGAGCAGTCAGACCGAGAGTTCTACCTCATGAAAAGCTGTCATGCTCACGATCAGGTCAGGTAGGAGATGTTTGCCAGAGTTAACTGAAGAGGCCTTACTTGTAGTTTTGACATTACAGCAGAATAACGTGTAAAATACATAATAAGGCAATATGCCCTAAATAGAAAACAAATAAGAGTGCAAAATAATAAAGCTAGATAAAAGTATAGGAAGAATAATAAGGACAAGTATTAGGAACTATAAGGAGTCAGAGAAAGAAAAGAACACCTTATTAATAAATGTGTTCATCAATGTCCAGATAATGATTTTGCAGGGTTGTATAAATCCAGGTAGGCAGGTTAAAGCAGAGATGTACGTTATCCAGGTTTGTATGAAGCAGGGTTGTATAAAGCAGGTAGGTAGGATATTGCAGAGAAGTATAGTTGTAGAAAATCCAAATTGGTAAGGAGCAAGGGATGTAGTAATTCAGGTTCAAAGCAATGAAGGAAAGTCACAGCTTGTTTCACAGCAGCCAAGATCTGAAGTCCTTGGTATGAACACCAACTTCAATGTAAAGGCCTCTTGCTTTGTTGGGTGTGGTCATTTATAGCAGAACTTTGTTTCATATGATACAGGTGAGTCTGAAGTGACTAGTGGCTAGGGAGGCCACTAGAGGTGAAAAACAGGAACTGTATTTAAAGGCACGGTAATAAACAGAAAAGTCTTGCCTGTCATCATAGAAACCTGACAAAAGCCAAGAGACATTATATGCAGACTCCACTATTTTCCCTTTAAGGAGGAAATCCTGCAAAGGCCAAACAACTCAGAGAAATCACTTATGGGGAGCACAAGGTGATGGTTTTCCAGGACCGAGCACAATCTACACTCATTGCACAGAGAGCTCTGCGACCAGTAACAAAGGCACTGTCAGAACGCAACATACGGTTCCGGTGGAATTATCCCTTTGCACTGGTGGTGATCCATCAGAAAGTGATCACCTCCCCTGCAGACGTCCCGGCGTTCCAGCAAGCACTGGGCCTTTCAACAGATACTGTGGAAGACCGGACTCGCCTGGCCACGGAGCGTGACAAGCAATGGCCCCAAAAAGGGCGAAATTGCAGCGCATCCCCAAAAAACGACAGTGACGGACCCCCTCGGGGACAGACATATCTGCGACCCCAAAAGGCACAGCGAACAGAGTGCCATAAGGAACTCACTATATCCTTTAACTCTGTTAGCAGCTGCTAAGCCGCCAAGGCGTTCAGTACAATCACTTGATTAAGGCTAAGTTTGAAGCCATGTTTCATATTGTCATTTGTTTTATTGTTGCTATTTTTCTTACTGCTACAGTTCCACATGATCTAAATCCATGATTTCCCAAAGAGCCGAGAAGGGCCTCGACCATGACGGAACCGGATTATCTTAGAAAAAGTATTTTATTAATAATTAAATTTAAGCTATAACATAATAATGTCTAAAATGTATAAATAGACATATAATGTATGCATCATATGCTGAAGGTCCAGCTTCTTGATGGTTCTAGACCACACGACCCCCGAGGGGTGTTACAAGGAGCCAAATGGTCCTCAGCGGGCTTGACACCATCTTGTTGAAGCATGTGACTCACATGCTTGATGTACATAGTCTGCCTGGTTTAAATTTCCCCTCCACTTCAGTGTTACATGAATCCATGTCTGGCCATTCCTCAATGGATAACCTCAAGCTCATGTCCTTGAATGTTCAAGGACTTAACACTTCTGAAAAACGCACAGTACTGACGCACGAAATTGACAGGCAAAAGGTAGACATAATTTTCCTACTGGAAACCCACTTTAGGGGGAAACAGACCCCCAAACTGAGAGCTAAAACAATAGGACAGTCCTATTTTAGCAACTACTAATGGGGCCAAGTCTACAAGAGTTGCTATCCTGCTGTCATTTCATGTGACCTTTACGCTTTCTGAAAGTAAATTGGACCCCCAGGGGAGGTACATATTCCTCAAAGGGAGACTAAACAACACGCTCATTACCTTAGCAACCGTATATTCACTCAACACCAGACAGGTCTCCTTCATCAACTCATGCCTCAGGAAACTAGAGAAATTCGCTGAAGGAGTGGTAGTAGTGGGGGGAGACTGGAATATTGTGCTTGACCACTAAACAGACAGTTCAGCGACTGGCAAAGACACACAAAGGCACCAACGAACTCTACTTCAGAGGGCTCTCAACGCCAAGCAATTAGTAGACTGCTGGAGGATCACACACCCCCAGCACATAGCTACTCTAGATTGGATATGTTCTTCCTAGGACATAGACACCTACAATTGTTTAGAGAGGCTTCTATCAGATCTATCACATGGTCTGACTATGCCCCAATATTCCTTACGCTGTCCCTTGCCGGTAAGACTAGCAACTCCTGGTGTTTAAACGAATTTCTGCTGCGCAACTCCAGGGTAACCGACGACTTAAATAACTCTCTCCCCATGTACTTCATAGAAAATAAGAACGAGGGCACTGCTGATTCCTGGGTATGGGAAGCACATAAAGGCATAACCCGAGGGATCCTGATTAAATGGGAGGCTCTGATAAAAAAGGAGCGAGCAGCACAGGTCCAGTCACTTACAAATGCCATTTCTGCAGCAGAGGCGACTCATAAATTTAATCCCACAACAGAAGCGTACAACAGCCTAACAGCGCTCCGAATGGAGCTGCGTAGCCTACTCATAGTGAAAGCACACAGGGCAGTTCACCTGACAAGAGGGACATAGTATGCACACGGAAATAAAAGTGGGATACTCCTGGCCGAGGCACTAAAGGACAAACATCAAAAGACATGTATCGCACAACTTTAATCAGCGGGCGGGACTCGACACGATATGACAGAGGACATAGCAAGAGACTTCCAAGACTATTATAGTGACCTATATAACCTAGGTTTCTCGATGAACCTCCCTCCCGAGATAAAAGACTACATCTCAACCCACCTAAAGAGAACACTAGACTCAAAACAAATTGCAGACAGCGATAGCGACCCTCCCAAAGGGCAAAAGCCCAGGCCCAGATGGACTGACGGCCAGGTACTATCAATCCTTCCAACACATTCTGGCACCCCAATACTTGGGGGTACTAAACAGCCTGTCACTTCACCCAAGCCTCCCACCCACAATGCTGAACGCATCGATCCCAGTATTACCAAAACCAGGTAAAGATCCAACCATATGCAGCAGTTTTAGGCCCATCTTCCTGATCAACATTGATCTTAAGATTTTCACCAAGATATTGGCCAATAGGATCAAATCCCTTCTTCCAGACTTAATCCATCCAGATCAGGCAGGGTTTTTATCGGGTCGAGAGGCCAGGGATAACACCAAAAGAATAATTAATATTATACATGGCGCATCATCATCTAAATTCCCCACACTACTGCTCTCAGTCGATGCCGAATAGGCATTCGACGGTGTATATTGGGACTTCCTCTTCACTAACCTTGAAACACTAAGGTTGGGACCCAACTTCAAGCAATGGGTACAGACACTGTATAGGGGACCCACCGCCACGGTCAGAGTTAACGGGCAGAACTCGCCCCTGTTTCAAATCAGTAATGGCACTAGGCAGGGATGCCCCCTGTCACCCATCCACTTTGTTTGGCCATGGAGCCCTTTCTGAACGTCATCAGAACAAACGACAAGATCCGAGGTTTTGGAGCTGGGGGGAGGGAGATAAAAGTATCCGCCATTGTGGACAATGCCCTCACCCAACCAGAGCAATCACTCATGCACATCAAAGCGGAAATAGACAGGTTCAGCGCATGCTCCAATTTTAAAATTAATGCTGACAAATGTGAAATAATGGGACTGGAAATAGGTTCACTATGGACAACCAGACTCCGCACCGCATATAGTTATAAATGGACAGAATCCAGCCTCACATACCTGGGCATTAAACTAGCCCGCATTATTAAAGGCCTCCACCGACTAAACTATCTCCCTCTCTTAACTGACATTGCCTCCAAACTGAAGCACTGTGATAAACCTTACTTCTCGCTCTTTGGCAGGGTCAATATTCTTAAAATGATGATCCTACCAAGGACCCTTTATTTGTTTCAAACTCTGCCGATAGAGCTGGATTACACAAACCATGAAAAATGTCCTTTCTTTCCTTTGTATGGGTACATAAAAATTCACGGTTAGCATACAAAGTCCCTACACGTAATAAGAAAGGAGAAGGCTTGAGCCTACCCCACATCTACAAATATTATATTGGGGTCCTTCTCACCAGAGTAAGGGAGTGGACAGATGAGGGCCACAAGAAGGCATGGTATGAATTGGAGCAATGCTTCTCCACAGTACCATTTGCCACTCTCCCCTGGCAGACTTGCCACTTACAAAAAATATCGAGAGACCCACATCCCCTTATACACCATACATTGAAGAAATTGAGATTACACAAAAATGTATGGAACCTATCCCCAGGTATATCCCCATTGTACCCACTGGCAAACAATCCACACATCCTAGGAGGCAGAGGGGCACCAATTCTATCAAAACTGCTGGGACTGATGAACCCACAACTTAACAACGTACTTACTACAGACGAATCTCCCAAAGTAATTAATCTACAGGGGCCTGGGGGACACCATTCGCTGACTGAAGCGTTGATATGCTCACAATTGAGGCACTCCTTGACATGTACAGTAACGCCTTACTGGACCCCTAGGGCACTAACCCCATTTAAACGACTGTGCACTTCTCCAAACAGACGAAAAAGTTCACTCTCTCAAATATACCAATTGCTACACTCCACACAAGGCGAGCAGGAGGTATATACCTTCCAGGGGAAATGGATCCAGGGACTACACATACATATGACAGCCTGTTATGGGCAAATGCAAATATTACAAGTTTTAGAATTAAATGTTGTATTTCTTAAACTGTGTACTTTGTCTTTAAGAGATATTGCAAACTGACAAGGTGTTAGAAATGGAACATATTGTTTTTCATAGATGTTTGTTTAAGCAATAACCTCAGTGCATAATATGTTTGTGTCATTTTGTCCAAGACAAATAACAATAATGCATAAACAAGCTTCAAGGCTATACTACGACTCTTTCAGTACACAATATACTGTGGTAACCCCAAGTTAATGGAACTTCCCCAAATCCGGGAATCTCCCACGACTGTGCACTTACGACTTAGTATAAACAACAGATAAGCTATTCAGACTTTAAGATGCCATCTTGAACTAAGTCAGGAAAATTTCCATGACGTATACACCCTTTAGTTATGGCCGTGTATGTTTGCCAAATTAAGGGAGGTCCTAAAATGAATAAAGTAAAAGAAGTGTTACTTTTTCATATATGAACTACGGTAACCCTAAAATGGAGACACCTAAGGTATAAATAGGTGTACTTTTAAATGTTAAGACACAGAAGAGAGACTTGGAGACAGACGCTGCTCCATCTTAAAATGACAGAGAGGCTGACATGATGACATGTTCAGAAGGGTATGTTAACCTATTAATGATATTTGCAAGCATTTATTTAATCTTATAAACTCTGCTATAATGGATTTTATATTTATATTTTTATATAATAAATATCCAAAAGACAAAACTATTGCTTCCAAGACAATCCTTATTTTATATTGTATTCTCAATTATTTATATATGTTAAATAGAGGATCTCTTACTAACTATATAAAATTATGGCTAAGATATCTGTATGGTTAGCCCTACTAAGTTCTATGCTTTAAGACATTATAGTGGTAAATAAGGGAACCACCTGCGTTACAAGCCCAAGACTGGGAACACATTTTTAATAAAGCCTCAGTTAGCCTATCCAGACGTGAGTCCTTCTATAAACGCATAACGAGGTGGTACAGGACACCGGATATGCTCAACCAATGCTGGCCCACAATTAGCAACAGATGTTGGAGATGCGGAGGAGAAGTGGGATGTATGGAACACATATGGTGGTTCTGCCCGCACATACGAGAGTACTGGAATAACATAACTGCCAAGCTCACCGACATACTAGAGCTCCCACACTCCCTGACCCCATCCCAGGTTCTGTTGGGATGGCCCCATACCTTCCAAAACTCGAAAAGACAGCTCCTACTGTGGTTATTGCTGGGGGAGGCAAATACCCTCATACCAGTGTACTGGAAAAAAACTGAGACCCCGGCGGTAGCCCAGTGGGTAGACAGGGTAGAAATAATGAGGGAGATGGAAAACCTACATTGGTCCACACTA